CCACTCCCTCATATCGCCTCACTTCATACAGACAACCACGGACATCAATTCGACTGGGACAACGTTCAAATATTAGACAGAGGAAACAACACCGAGGATGCTAGAGAATTTTTAGAAGCCCGCCTGGTATTCCAGTGAATCATCAATCAATAGACACATCGAGATAGACAAAATTTATCAACCGATAAGAAGGAAACCTCCACACACACAAAGGGTCAAAGTTCAAGTCAAAGAAACAATCAGTTCCAATACAAGTAGCCTAGAAGGTGTGAAAACCCACAAAAACAACCAATCACGTTCAAGTTCACCCACCAGGAGAGATGATTAATAAACTCGTGGAGAAATCTAAAAGCTCACTTCACTTCAAATTGAAGTATGCGCTGAAGATGTCGCCTAGTAGGGCGATGAAAGCTTCGCAAAATAACTATCCAGCTCAGAAAACACAACCACATCAAAATCATCCACCTGAGCTACAAATCTTCTCTATCATATATATATATATATCTTAAGCCAATGCTACATCCCAAGCTGAGAACTTTACATAGTTGGAAGGAATAAAACTCCATTCCACAACCTAGTGTGTCATATCTTCTTTTAACCACTTATTACTTTAAATGAGACTAATTCCCGATATCCATGCTGAAATTCCATAAGTGTGGACAAGCTAAATAAACCAAGTATGCTAAGCACGTGTTACATGCTCACTACTTCACAAACTAACCTAGAGATGGATTTACTACATATTTCAAGTATTTCAGATGTAAATACCTTGACGTCAACTAGCATAGACTCTTAGAGTTTTACAAGACAATTTGAAATGAACATCAACAAAGTTAAATGCATTCTTACATATTTTTATATTGAAAAACTAAAACTATTTGAAAATAACTGACAATCTGAACGCCTCAATGTTTATTTTCCACTGGAACCAAACGATCAGTTTTCTGTTGACATAAGGAATGCCTCTGTGATGCTTTTGACTTAAAACTGATACTTAGTGGCCAACAGTCACATCGAAGACTTGCGTTTGGCTCCTATTTTGAACTCATCATCTGGATTCCAGCGCCATTGAAACTCAGACTGAATGGCGACTGTTTCAAACACATTCAAGCTTTATCCACCCCCTTGAGCTACGAATATGAATTATTATTTGATCTTGATACTTTTTGTTATATGAAAAAGAGACTATCAGTCTCCGCGTAGACTGGTGAATAACGCTCTTTGATGTTTGGAAAGATGGTCTCACGTTCAACCTTCACTGGGTGGGATCCAGCTAACAAGTCGCAAGAATTATGTAACGCACACTCTGTACTTTATTACTAGCTACGATCAAGTAAGCATTTTTAAATTCTAAGCGTTATGGATAGGTGCAACAAAGAATGGATGATGAAGGTCTTTCGGTCCAACACACTAGTCATGTTATTATTATTATTGTTTCCTTTAATTCCTAGAGGAACATAGGGCTTCAGCCGTGCGTCTCCATTGCGTTCGGTTCTCTCCTACAGTCTTCACCTGGCTCCATGTCTGCCCACACGCTTTCATCTCCTCTTCACATGACCTCCTCCAAGTCACCCTTGCACTGACGACCAACTCGCCGCTTCCCTTTCGGGTTCCACTCGAGCGATGGCTTGTCTAGTGATGTCACTTGATGGATTGTTTCCTCAGAGTATGGCCAGCCAATCCATCTCCATTTCTTCCTGCCTATTTGTTTCACAATCGGTTCCTGATGGGTTGGTTCGATCCCAGAGATCGTTGTTGCTGATCTTTTCTGGCCGGCCATGTGATCTTGAGCGAAGTATTGAGCGAAGACAACTGTTAATGAAGGTCTGTAGTTTGTTTGAGATGCTCTTTATGATGCGCTGGCCAAGTCTCTGATCCGTATGTTAAGTAGCACTGACTGACTTCACATTGGAGTTGAAAATCCGGATCTTATTTTTGATGCTGAGTGCTGTTGACCTCCACACAGACTTGAGAGTAGTGAAAGCTTGTCTTGCTTTCCTGATCCTCGCTTTGATATCCTCGTCAGTTCATCCGCCTGTAGTTGAAACGATGCTTCCCAGGTCGGTAGGTAAAAGAGGTTGTTTCTTTCAGGTTCCTTCCACTTATGCTGATTGTTGTTGCTGTTGGTGGTGTTGCAAAAAAACTATTGCAATTATTTGCCTTTGAAACACTGAATCTTTGGATATAAACTTTGTTGTTGGATAATACCTATAACTATCTATTTGCCACTCTGTGCTTGTTTAACACTAACTAATATCTATAATTGTATATATTGATGGATTTACATGTTCAAGTTGGCTCAAGTCAGTGAGTCTATGATTTTTGTATCATTTTGGTTAACTGTACTTGACTGTGATATTATTATTGTTGTTGTCGCTTGTTACCCTTCTTGTTGTGAATTATTTTCCTGTGCTGGTGTTGTTCTGATTGTTTTATTCCTTGTTTTCCTGGTTTTAAGGAGAGCAACCCACAAGGTCGCTTCTCTCTGAACTATATTTTAATGTAACAATCCCCTTCTCAGGCGTGAGGCTAGCAACCCCACCCTGTAAACAAAGCTGCTACAGAAACTTCAGCACTAGTCATGTGATTAGGTCATTAATGTTTCTTAGGTATTAATATATGTCTGTAAAACTTAGGCATTCATCAGGTAGTAGGTAATTCCACTGTTAGTTACCACCAACCAAAATAACTCCATGTTAATGTGTTTATTGGTAATGTGACACAGTGAAACAGTACTATACACATACTGAGTGACCCTTCGAACACAATTTTGTTATTCATAATCATAGCAAGTATAAAACTTCGCGATTTCTTAAGGAATTGTAACTTTCCTAATCATTAATTGAATGCATATTAACGCTATTCCACTAATAGCGGTTTTTAAGAGTCGATGGTTAAGCGCTGGAATGCCTCACATGGCCTGGGATTTGATCCCTCCCCCCCCCCCAACTGACGAACTGCTAAATCTCACCAAGTTAGCGGTAAGGTCGATAAAGAGGGGAGTTTGGGCGTGAGGCTAGCAATCCCACCCTGTAAAAATAAAAACAACAACTGCTAGTGAAACTTCACAGCTGTAGTTTGAAGGTCCTATGTTCCACTAAGAATGTAAAGGAATAAAAAAAAAGCAATACTACTACTAATAATAATAAAATATTCTACTGGTAATATGGCGAAAGATAGAGGCAAGAAAGAGAGAGAGAGACCGAAACACTAAACACAATCAATATTCGTTAAATATCCTCAACTCCTTTGTTATCGGGATACCTATGGTAGCTACATAATTGCTCAAACTTCGAAGAAGGATGAATGAAGTGGGTGAACACCTAACCCACTTTATGAAAGTAAAATATCATGGTCAATAGAACTATACAACTCAATAAAGAAATAAAAAACGATGCTACAAAAAACTTAATCAAGCACGCAAAAGTATACGCTTACTTCTTCGCATCTCAAACCTATCCTGAGATATTAAGTGGTAATCTTATAACCATTCTACTGTCTGGATTCAACACAGAACTTGGCACCGAAGTGCAGCAGTTCGAGCTGCCACGTTCCAAAGAGCACACACAAAGGTAGACAAGAAAATGAGTGAAGAGAATCAATAGAGTTTTGACAAGTATAAGAGTGAAACAGAATGAGTAATGGTAGAAAGGAATATGAAAGATTACAGAGACTGAATACATCTGCGTAAGCCATTGACAACGATTTTGAGCCATGTCACCTATTGTCTCCAGCCATTGATTCTTAGAGTCCCGAGGGCGGGCCCCAACCCGGAAGTCTGCATCTCCCTACCTGACTTGACTCAGTTTAACTGTCAGGGATTTCATGGATTGATGAGGCCATGTTTTTGTTTGGCCACCACTTACTCTTTCCCAACCTGTGCCTATATAAGCTAGTAATGCCCGTCCGTCGGGGGAGGCGATGGTTAGGCATGCGCAGCACGTGGCCTAACCATCTCAATCTATGTAACTTCATAGCCTCTTCGAGTGATTTTCCCTCTTTGCCCAACACTCTACGCCTAACGTCAACATTACTTACCTTATTATACCACCTAACGTGAGAAAGAGATCGTGGACATCTATGATCAAAAACAGTCAACCTTTTCATGTCTTCAACTCGTATTGGCCATGTTTCAGAGCCATAGAGAAGGACGGAGCGAACTGCTGAGCAGTATACACGTCCCTTGGTTGATAACCGGATGTCACGCCTACGCCAGAGATGCTGTAAGTTAGCGAAAGCAGCCCGAGCTTTTTGGATCCGTGCTGAGATTTTGTCACCAATCAATCAATCCGTTGGTGTTGATACAACTTCCCAATTAGATGAAGTGGTCAACATGTTCTATCACTTCACTCTCTATCACTAAGCTAGGAGTTGACGTGGTCCAGTCATTCCTGTAACAGCATCTTACATTTTACAGGGGCGAATCGCATGCCAAACATACGAAGATTGCTGCTCAAGGTGTTCAGAAGATTCTGCATTTTGTCAGCATCCTCCCCTAACAGGACTATGTCATCTGCATATTCTGGTAACAAGTCGATTCCTAAGTCGTTAAGTTCAGTTCACGATACTTCCATTAGCATATATCTATGATGAGGACGCCTTCAAGTCAAGAAATATGGCAATTGATCATAACTATTCTACGAAAATGTACAACTCAACATTTCGCTCTATATAGTGACAACAACCACAAAAATACCATGCAATTATGTAGTATATCATCACAGCAATACAAAAAGTAGAAACAATTCAAAATTAAGCGTTTACACCAATTATTTATTGTTTAAAGACAAAGAAGAAGAAAAAGAAGAGAAATATACAAAATGACACCACAACCACAACCACCAGCAGTGAAAACAGACTTAAAATACAAAGTTATTAAAATGCATGCCATTGAAATTATTATATGTTACTATTGTTTGTTTGTTTTGTTGTTTTCTTTTTTAACTTTTCTTCCCTTTTATACAGTTGGAAAGTGACTGCGAGAAGAGAGAAAGAGTTACGACACCATTTGTTCATTTCCTCGACTAAGCATACCTAATAATAATAATATTGAGGTGAAATAAAAAACAAATGAAATAAGTTAAAATAAAATACAACAAAATACTTAAAACAATTAGTTCCCTTTATGAATTTAGATAAAGCAATAAGAAGACGTAATTTGTCTGAATCGTGTGTGTAATGTATTTGCGCGCAAAACACATTTCTAACAATCTGATAACACACGGACTTGTCATAGGAATATATATGAAATTAATAAAGAGGTGAGAGGTGAGAAAATAGACTTAGGTCAAGTTAAAAGGACATATTCAAGGTCAAAATAACAATGAAGACCATTAAACCAAATAACAGAGGTAATAAATAGTTCATCTGCTATGGTATCAAAACAAAATTTACCAAGGAAGGTTTAATGTGATGACGAATTGTTGCTTTGAACGCATAAAGGTGGCTTAAACTTTCTAATTGCTAGCTAGGGCTTCCACAAACTCCAGAAACAAATGGAATCTTCAGAACCTATTAATGGTGAGAACAGGAGACCTAGCTCTTCTATTGCGAAACATATTATAGAGACAGGACATAAAATTGACGTTAACAGATTTTTTAAACCTATCTATAAAACGTGTTTGGGGCGTATCCTAAAGTTTGTGGAAGCCCTAGCTAGCAATTAGAAAGTTTAAGCCACCTTTATGCGTTCAAAGCAACAATTCGTCATCACATTAAACCTTCCTTGGTAAATTTTGTCTTGATACCATAGCAGATGAACTATTTATTACCTGTGTTATTTGGTTTAGTGGTCTTCATTGTTATTTTGACCTTCAATATGGCGGCCTTTTAACTTGACCTAAGTAGTTTATTTTCTCACCTCTTACCTCTTTATTAATTTCATATATATTCCTATGACAAGTCCGTGTGTGATCAGATTGTTCGAAATGTGTTGTGCGCGCAAATACATTACACGATTCAGACAACAAAATACATTTGAAATTATGAAAACTATTCACAACTTGTTAACTGCGCTATATAATTTATACACATAATCGATACAAAGTAATTTGGAAACTATTCGAGTACTACGGCGTAACCGAAATATTCACCAACCTTATTCAACAGCTGTACGACAACGGCACATGTCAAGTGATCAACAACGGAAAACTCAGCGAGGCGTTTGGAGTAAACACAGGAGTCAGACAAGGGTGCTTATTGTCACCAATGATATTCCTAATTGTGGTGGACTGGATTATGCGTCAGACAGTGGGAAACGAGAAGACAGGGATATCCCGAACCGACGTGAAGAACCTAGAAGACCTGAATTTCGCGCGTGGATGATTTATGTTTGATTTCACAAATAATCGAAGACTTACAAGCGAAAACCGACAAACTGGTCGAAGAGGCTGGCAGCAAAGACAGGACTCCAGGTGAACATAGACAAGACGGAGGTTATGAAAATAAACCAACAACAACAACAGCAGCAACATCCAGCGCCAATCACCATCAACGGGAGGGATTTGAAAGAGGTTACTTCATTCACTTATCTAGGGAGCATTGTCTCAACTACAGGAAGAACCAACGAGGATGTCAAATCAAGTGAGAATCGGGAAGGCGAGAAACACATTCATCAACCTGAAACCAATCTGGAAATCTTCCACTGTCACTCAGCCTGCATCAACAACAAAATTCGGATTTTCAATACAAACGTCAAGTCAGTCAGTTCTTCTATACGGATGGATCAGAAACTTGGCGGCGGGTCACAAAGAATATTTCCAACAGCCTGTTGCAGACCTTTATCAACAGCTGTCTTCGTTCTATACTCAACATCAGATGGTCGGAAAGAATCACCAACAAGAAACTATGGGAACAAACAAAACAAGAACCAATCGCCAAACAACAAATATGCAGGAGAAAGTGGAGATGGATTGTACACTCACTGCTGAGGAGGCCGTTGGGTGACATCGCGCGTCAGGCCAGTTCTCGAGTGGAACCCGAAAGGGAAGCGGCGAGTGAGACGTCCAAGGGTGACATGGAGGAGATCGTGTGAAGAGGAGTTGAAACAGTATGGATTAACATGGATGCAGGTGAAAAGTACAGTAGAAGACAGAAGCAAGTGGAGACGTGCAGTTGAAGCGCTATGTTCCACTAGGAACCTAAGGGAATAATAATAATAATGCTGTGGCAATTCGAGTAATGCTATTCTCACAGCTACATATCAAAATAGAAAGTAATAATACCCTGTATATTTTTAATCTTATTTGTTCACACATTTCTGATCAATAATCCAGGCTATGATACGAAGTAAAAATACAATCCCTCGTGTTTATATCATGCATAGAGATCGCCTAATTTAACTGAGTTTATTTAGAACTAATAACAAAAGGTTCTGACAAAATACAGATGACCAGGTGTTATGTAGAAATGCAAACTATCTCGATATTATTATTTTCAAGTATTGGTTTTGTAGGGATTTTGTTTGATTGAATAGAGGATTTTATCATGAGCCGAAGTGGGAAGTCGTGACCAGTAGGGTACACCAGGTTGAAGATGAGGCAGTAATTCATCGAAGAAGACATTGCGAAATGGTCGCGCTGTGTCACGTGAATTGGCAAAAGTTAGAATTCATGAATGAGCCATTGGATCGGGTCCCCGTGGCTCAATGGTCTACGAGCTGGCTAGCCTTGTAACCAGAATGTCCTGGGTTCGAACCCCAGTGGGTGCGTACTGATGAAGAGTCCCAAACACTAGGACGAAACAGCTGCCCAGTTCTCAAACTGATGTCAGCTCATGATGAAATCCTCTATCTCAATATTACATCAATCAGAATAAAAGACTGTGTGTAAATACTCACATTATCTACCGATTATTCAAACAAACAATCAATCAGATTTTACCAAGTATGATAAACAAACTTCCACTGCTGTAGCGCTATGATTTAATTGCCTATGATTCCAAATGAATAGTCTTACTTGAATGCAGAATCATCTCTCCGTCTCTATACTGACACACACACACACACACACACACACACTCCAATAGAGTCGTATGAGTCAGGAGGAACTAAGAAAGTGCACAACATCCATTACTGCTAACAGATACTGATCATAGCAATATTAGTTTGTTTATTAGGTATATCACACAGTGAAACAGTATTATTTACTGGATGACGTTTCGAACAAAATTTATTGTTCATAATCATATCAATTGTAATCACACGACTTTGAAACTTGAGTTTTATAGTTTTCTTTGTCCTCTCCTACTTGCCGTCGCCGGGGTAGTAAAGTTTTCCAGATATCTGGGTGGACAGGTGATGAATCATTCCTATTACATGTATTTGCAGTTGATTCAATAAACAAAGCTTCTGTTATCAATCTCTCCCTATACCCTGTGACATTAGATTTTAAAACTCTCATTCTATCCCATCCTATTGTATGGTTGTGTGTAACTGCATGCAGTGCTATAGCTGAATTATTCTCTAGATTTCTTATCTTATTCGGGTCAACCAATCTAGATTTTGCTAGGTTTTTATGTTCAGCTGGTCTGACTGCCCCTGTTCTACTAGTTTGACCTATGTATTTGTTCTGACAATCATTGCAGGGTATGAGATAAACTAAATTGTTTTGTTTTAAAGGCTCTACAGGATCCTTTAACCGACAAAGCTTGTTTCTAATTAAGTTTGTGGGTTTGAATGCCATTTTTATTCCTGCCTTGTTGAGAATTCTGTGTAAGGCTTCCGAGGTTCCTTCGTTGTATGGAATTACTACTGATGATTTAGATTCCTTATTGTTGGTGTCGTCATTAATATTATTATTATTATCACTATTATTATTATCATTATGATTGTTACTATCACTATCGCTACTATCATTATTTATTTTATTTTTACATTTCCTTACAAATTTCCTGACTAATTTATCCGGGTAATTATTAAGTTTCAAAGCTTCTTTTATGTGTATCATTTCCTGTTTTAGATTTTCTTTGGTACTACTTAATTTTTGTGCTCTGTCATTTAAACATTTCACCAATCCTATTTTTATTGACATAGGATGGGATGATCCAAATAAGATAAGAAATCTAGAGAATAGTTCAGCTATAGCACTACATGCAGTTACACACAACCATACAATAGGATGGGATAGGATGACAGTTTTCAAATCTAATGTCACAGGATATAGGGAGAGATTGATAACAGAAGCTTTGTTTATCGAATCAACTGCAAATACATGTAATAGGAATGATTCAACACCTGTCCCCAATATCTGGAAAATTCTACTCCCCCTACGACAAATAGGAGAGAACAAAGAAAACTATAAAACCCAAGTGTCAAAGTCGTGTGATCACAATTGATATGATTATGAACAATAAATTTTGTTCGAAACGTCATCCAGTAAATAATACTGTTTCACTCACTGTGTGATATACCTAATAAACAAACTAATATGGAATTACTTACTACCACAGTGCCCAAGTTTTACACATATATTCATAGCAACATTAATTTAAAGTTAATAAAAACAGCACGTTAAAACTGACTAGCATGTGGGATAATTCATGTCACTATTTATATTATCAACTTACATGAAATTAACACACACACACACACCAGCTTAGATTCCTACAAGTACAGGCTTATACGATCGATTGTTGACATGACATCATACAGTGTTAAGTTGTTGTTGTTGTTTTTTTTTTCAAAATTTCTTCACTCTTTCTTCAAATCTGTGCTTTCTGTTTACTTTACTCGAAGCTGATAACTTAGACAGAATAGAGATTTCACACGCAGATAAGCGCTCAGAGATAGACTATGACTAGTGTTAATAGACAGAATAAACTGTAGGCATCAGATTATTTTGATGTGGTTATGTTGTCTGAGCTGGATAATTTATATAGTTGTGAAGGCTTTCATTGCCTCACCCCACTAGGCAACGTCTTCAGCACGCATGCATACTTCAATTTGAATTGAAGTGAGATTTTAGATTTCTCCACGAGTTATAGTTTACAAGTCATCTCGTTGATGATCGTTGACATTGAGAGTGATTGGTTGTTTT